ACTGCCTCCAAATGGCTTTACCAGTGTGTTACATCCACAGCTTGAAGTTATTTCTTAAGTGGTCAACATAATGTGAGAACAGGCTGTTGAAGTCCATCCATCCATTTTCTTTACACCCTTGTCGGGAGGGGCAACAGAGACACACAACCATGCACACACACTCACACCTAGGGGCAATTTGGAGAGGCAAATTAACCTGATAGTCATGTTTTTGGACTGTGGGAGGAAAGCGGAGAACACCCACGCATGCACAGGGAGAACATGCAAACTCCATGCAGGGGGACTGGGGCTGGGAATTGAACCCAGAACCTTCTTGCTGCAAGGCAACAGCTCTACCAACTGCGCCACTGTGCATCCCCAGGATGTTTAAGTGTAACACTAATATCCTTAGAGCCACCGCTAGTAACAACTACAAAACACTTAGCATGTAGTATTTGTCACAGGACAGATATAAAAGCAGGCATATTGTCATGGCTTTTAGAGTTTACATTAAATTCACGAGGCTTTTATTTATATCCTACATTGGCTTTAAGTGTTATTAGCTCACCAAAAAAAGTAAAAAATAAACTTCCCGTTTCACTTCATCTCAGACAAGCAATTTGCTGTTTTTCCAAATGTGAAGGTACAAACTCCTAGCAAAAATCCAAAAATTGTTGAAGATGTAATTTTAATTACACACATTTTGGACTTTAAAATGCACATCAAGTTCACAAGAACGCGTGGTTGTGTTCCACAAAATAGCTGTGAAACAGAGAAGCCAAAAATATTGATATGCAAATGAGACTGCAGCGGACACTTTAAGAAACCGTTTCCTCCTGTTTGATGCTGCGGAAACAGTGGACTTGCTGCAACTATTACAGTAACTAACAAGCAAAGCTAAGGCGAAGGAGGACTCATGACTCCAAAGTTATATTAATCCACGCCTCGCCTTTAATGCCGACTCGCGTCGTGTTCAAAGGAATACCGAGACTTCAGTGGGTTCGCAGTAACACAGACCGACGTAGTTATCCCTCATTTTGCTTCACCGACAGCAACATGACTGGAATACAAATGGAAAAGCAGTGTTTTTTCCCCCCACCCCCTTAAAAAATAAAAAAATAGGTATTAAAAGTATGAAACAGGGAAATCTCTTGAGAGACAACAGAAAGGAAACATCTGCCAATCACAGCAGAGTCAGCCTATGAATGAAAGGGATTTGCCAGATATCAGAGTTGTTCAATCAAAGTGGTTCATGGTCTACTTAACTTGTGGTTCTGTTTATTTCCATAACTAGTGGAAGAATCAATCAGTGACTTAATTTACCAACTCATTTAAATAACAGCGGCAATTGTGCGTTTTGTACATTAATGTAATGTGACCCCTGGCTAGTGTTACAGGTCATTCTTTAAAACACACAAGGCCCGCAGCCAGAACTCCATCCTATTCACATCACTGTGTGTGTGTGTGTATCATTGTTCAAAAGACTTGATTGAGTAAATGGAAGGAGATATTTTTGTATGCACTTAGTTTACCCAGGTGGTTACTGCATCATAATGTGTAAATGGGAGTAGGCCATTTCACTGCTTCACCGTTTCATTCTTGTGTGGTTGTGATTTTTTTTTTCATGCTAGAGGTTTTTGGAGTGTGAATTGCAGATGTCGTGCATCTGTTCTGACCGCCCCCGGCGATGTTTCATTCCATTTTAAAAACCTATGCTTAAACATAATTTTCCATAATTTACAGTTTGCTGTGGTGAAATACGATTATGTGATTACAATAAATAATACCTGCTTGGCAGTGGCTGCTCAGAACTACTTTGTTTTAATCAGGGGTCGGAATCGCTCGTGTTTCATCAGAGTCGACTTTTCCGAGTTCGGGATGTACCGATAGGAAAATGTGGGCCGATACCGATATTTACCTACCATTTGAACACTGCGAAAATGACCACAACACCTACATTTCATCACTTTAAAATGACCAAACTAACTCCACATGGTCAACCCTTTCCCCGCCACATCAGGAAACGGATTTATCGGTACAAACATTGCATCGTACACACAATAGTATTTGTGACGAAATTGTATTTTCTTGGTAAAGTTGATGTGCCAATAGAGGTTTTAACCAATTCTGAATTGTTTGTAGTTTTCCTGTTGTTACTGCTATTACTTTGACAGGACTGGAGGTGAAGACTTACAAGAAAATAGTCACTTTAAAACAGGGTTCTAGACATTTAAGCCAGTGACTACGTGGGGTTAAGGGTTTGGAGTTTCCAATGCTAGCAAATATCGCAGTTAGCATCGCTAAAAGTAAACATCAATCTGTGTGTATTCTCAAGGGAATACAGACCTAATCATTCTGATATTGTCAAAAATCTACTAACCTGGCATTAAAGGTCGAACACTGAGACTTTCTCTTAACTGCTGAAATCGGATCCAGGTACAATTTGCAGAAATGTTCCCAATGGAGCTACAAATTGATGTCTTCTGGCACACAGCTGTATTTTGTACTCATAAAAGACAAAACAACCCAATCGGCAAAATTACAACATCAGCAGCACCTGCAGTGGTCTGGCTATCTGCTGTAGGAGTCTGAATGAATGGCCCACATTGCCTCGACAGGAAATGCAGTTTTGTTTTAGATGGCTTTTCTGCGCTTCCTGACTTTTAAAACACCTCGGTGATACTGAAAGTAACCAACTTCAAGTCTTCTTTAGTGCTGCTGCCGGTGTGACGCATTAGCTGCTACAAACTATGCAGGCATTGATCAGAAAAAGACCCAGTTTATGAATATATGAACCTGGCCAACTGGTCACCGATCAAGGCCGGTAAAATTGAACATTGACCAAATCTGGTCACCAAAGGGGGGCTTTTGTTCTCCATAAATAGACTAATAAGTACAAGGATATTAAATGATTTGTTAAGGTGTAACGTAGGCAAGTAGATTAAGATGAAATTGCTTTTACACATATAACGCAAAATGCGTAAAAGTGAGGGTTTCCCCCAAAAAACACGCTAAGCCTGGTGGTAGTTTAACACAAAAACACTGTGTTTTTGTGTTAAACATTTTTTTTAAAGTTGATGGGAACTTTTGGAAATAAAACATCAACAACAAAGAAAATACAGTGTTGGACTAAAACATTAGTCTTTCTGTAGGTTGTGTATGCCTAGCAGACAATTTCCTCTTCAAAATAATTGTCTGATAAAGATTAGTGATGCTTTATTGTCCGAAACTGACAGATGAATGTCATACCAAATTTTATTGTTAAACTGGGTGAGATTATCTCTGCAATATTGGTTAAAAATATATATATACATTGTACGCACGGTAACCATTTCAGATAACTTTCATTCACACAAACCCGTACAAATACGCATTGTCGTAAACGTTCCGATCTGCTAGGGGGCAGTGTAGTGCAACGCTAAGCCCTATATCAGCCAATCAGATTGCTTCAAAACCTCAACTTCCTATTAGGGATTAAACATGGTGCTAGGGGATTCATTTGTGTGGACACATGGGTTGAACTACTCTTAAGTAGGATATAAAGTTAACAAAACACAAGACAATGTCGATTGGGAATTGTGTCAAAGCAAGTATGTGGGTAGATTTGTTGCAGACTGTAATGTGCTAGAAACTCAAATCTCTTATTTTCCCAAATACACTCAGGCAAACAAAAGGTTTTTGAAATCTAAACATTAGTCTGAGTTTTTCGAAATAATAGCTTCTGGTTAAAAGCAAGTTTTTGTGTGGATAACAGGCCATAACACACAAAAATCCATTCGTTTTCCCAAATTTCCAGCTTCGCCTGGGCGAGGCCTTAGCTTCAGAAAGATTTCATACCTTCACAGACTTTAATTGTAGAAGCGGCCACTGCTTTCTATAATGTCCAGCACCTACTGATACATTGTACATGTCAAGGTCATGATGCTGGTGAGTATATTTTTATGTGCTGGAAGCATAAAACTAATTTAAATACATGACTCACACAGAGAGTCACAAAGAATTATTATGGTAACATCATGCTGACATTTTAACAGTAATATGTGCAAGGTGGTGTCAATAAGAGCAAAGCATATCAAATGTGCTTGAATTACAACAAAGAATGTTGACGAGATAGAAAATTGTTACAATATATTAAGTTAATATTCGCTCACACTTGAGAACTATATAAAAAATCTTGGGGAAAAAAATCCTTGCTACCTAAATGTAGCAAAATTTCTCTCACTTCTTAACCACAACAAGTAGTTTGGCGGCTCTCATTGGGTGGGTATCGTACTCATTTAATGTAATAAAGTCAAACTAATATATCTGCATACAGCTCAGTTAGCTTACGAGCTGATTTATAAAAATTGTGCTTCAGCCCAAACATAGTTATTTAGGCTGACACAACCGTTAGCAACTATGTGCGAGGTAGAAAATACATAAAAATAAAACATGCAAATTCATCAGAACTGAACCCGTGTACATTTCGGAAACGTGCATTTACTAAAAAAGAACAACAATTATGAGTTATTTCGTTTTCCAGAGGAGAGTTGTAGCTGTTGTTTGTCTGGAAAACTTATCTTGACTGCTGCAAATCTGAACGATGACGGCAGCGTCAAAAAAAAAAAAAAAAAAAGATCGCTTAAAATGTGCTCAACAAATCCGCTCTTTGCTTATATCGCTTGTAACAGTTTTGCTCCTAAACTGAGGACAAGCAGCTAACATTTAGCACGGCGGCCAAAAAACACGGCCTTTTCTTGGCAGCAAACTGATGAGCTCCCAGCAAGAATAGCTGGGCTGGCTTGTTAATGGTAGCAGGCTAGCTGGCTTGGCTAGGTTCGCCGAAACAAAACGGACTCGGGCCTGAATTTTTTTTGCCACCGTGTTTAGGCACATATAATTCATATGACATCTTGTTCCTACCGGTGCATGGAGTCAAAACATTCGTCACCGTGCTACTGATTTGTGGGGGGGATTCGTGTCGGTGGCTTTGCGACGAAAAAGACAAGTAAAGGAGCTAAAAATGGGAAGTCAACACTTACCTAGCTTTACTTTCTACGCCATCTTGGATCCACTTGTCAGACCATCGCAAAGCATAGTGGGATGTACTGATCTGAAGGTTGAGGAGGACTTGCTGTGAAAGTGCCAATGTTTTGGCCTCGTTTACGAGTCAAAGTTTTGCTTTGAAAAAAAGTACAACACTCGGTGGAAGAAATAAGCGTTATCACCAGCCTGAATTAATTGAATTAATGAATTATTTTAAAGCTGCTTCAGTGTCCTCTGTGTGTCTCACATCAAGTCATTGATAACCCAGCATTATTATGTTTTTTTTTTGTTCACTGCATATTCACTCCGAATTAGTTTAGTGATTTGAAGCAAATATATATATATATATATATATATATATATATATATATATATATATATATATATATATATATATATATATATATATATATATATATCAATAACGTCTGCTCCTGTAAAAATAATTCTATAAGTATTTGAGTGGTTTTTTTTTGTTGTTTTTTTATTGTATTTTTAAGTTAAATTTCTCCATTTGAAGTATTGTGGTGTTGGGACAATTTATGTAATGAAATAAAAATACCATAATCTGTGAGACATTATCGTTTCTACACATATTGCCTATATTATCCATACCAAAGTTGATATATTTTAATCAAGACATTTTCTTGCGGGGGAAAAGTAAGAAAGGTATTTAGCTTATGTTTTCCCCAACTACTGTAAAATTTTAATAACTCCTCAATAGAGTACATCAAAAGAATTTCAAACAAATTGACCGTTTTGTCTTCATACTTTATTTATATATCAAGAAAGTATTTTGAATGACAGAACTACCCACGTGGGCATTCCAGGAACTCAGACTGTGATTAAAATCAGAAAGTGAAAATTGTCAATTTCAAGTGTTTTTTTTCTTTGAATTATAACAACGAAGGCTTACAGCTACAAACAATTCAAATGATCCGAAACAAAATTTACTGAAATGTGTTACACCTACTTGAAAGTCATCCAGCAGTCAATGACCTCACATAGGAGTGTAAGTCACAAAACATAATTACAATCTATGCATAGTCATACTTTTTTTTTTTCTAAGCATTTAATAGAAAGTTAGGTGGGAGGAAAATGTCAAATATGACCGCAATTGGATTATGAATTAGCTTTTTTTAGAGGATTTTGACCTCTTTGCCCACTTGTCGTTAAGCCTGATCTGGTGATTCATCGTTGACTTGAAGCTTTGACTTCCTGACTCGTGTCGAGTTGCAACTTCAACGTGATCACGTTGCACTTTAATCCTGCACCCATCTTTTTTTTTTTATGAAGCGCACCAGTCCCTCCTACAGCTAAACACCTACTCAACATAACACTGCCACCCCCGTGCTTTAAACTGAGGTACTATCCTCAGTTTTCCAAACTTTTAGCCCTTTTCTTCCCAATCTCAGATTGGTCAGTGTAGCTAAATAGTTTATTAGTTACACCAGGCTGAAGGACATGTTTCCTAAAATTAAGATTATTGTCCCCGAGTGTAATCTGGCTCTTTATGTTGCTTTTGCTTATTTCACTGTGGACACTGACACTATCACACCAGCTTCAGCCTTATTTCTGAGGTTAATACACACATTTCCCACCAATTCAACATTTTTTGTTTTTTTCATAATGTCACATCATGAAGTATTTTTTGATATTTTGTTTTAAAAGGCATCCATAGGTTTGTCTCCTTTCAACTTAGATGTTGGAAATTAAACATTTCAGAAGATTAAATCATCATCTGGGCTTTCCAAAACTGTTTAAATGCAAAGAAATCTTAGTACCTGTACTGTAAACGTCTGAAACGTTCAAACAAAAAACATTTCTATAAACATTCCTCTCATTTTTCTGACATTTAGCAAAAAGAAACTAATTTTGGCTTATCTAGCTTAAAAAAGGTCAGGGGGAAAAAATCAGTGGTTATGAGTCATTTTTATCTTGTCTGCAAATATCTGGTTGCATTTGGATTTTGGTAATCTTCCCATAAAATGTGAAACTGTATTAAAACTACATTAAACAGAGAGGAGAAAATGCAAGGACTGGAGGTACAATATGTTTATTGTCAACGTTTTACTAGACAATAAAAAAAAAAAAAAAAGGAACAGCTCATAGAGGGTGTGTGTGTTTTACGATTGCTTTTTTCCCCAAATCTTACGATACTGCAATCGGGCGCCGCGGCGGTATTCCGCTAACGTACTGTACAAACGCGTCACAGTTCCCCCTGAACATAAACACAAGTGAACATGAAACAAAAACATGAAAGAAGAAACTGTTCTCGTGTCACTGCAGATTGTGGATCATCTCCTCCTTGGCAATGAGGTGCGTGGTCTTGTTGACCAGCGACATGAGGGAGTTGAGTTTCTGCGACCAATCGTTGAGCAGGTCATTGGGGTCTTTGGGCCGCTGAAAGTTGATGATGCCGGCGAGCCGGTCGACCTTGGAGTAGATGGTCTTGTTTACGACGAGGCTGGAGAGGAACTCCTCCGACTCCTGGCGTAGGATTTCAACAGGTGGATTAGTAACGTTTTTTTTTTTTGGTGGTACTGTGAGCTTCAGATGGAACGAGCTGCTAAAAAGGTTTGCTTACGTCAACAGAGAGGTCTAGCAGGCCAGCCATCCTTTTCATTGTGATTCTGGTGTAATATTTGGCCATGATTCTGATGTTCTGAGAGAGAAAGACAAAAAAAATCTTCAATATAATTACAAGTAATAATGGAGACCAACCTCCAAAGATATAAAGCTTACTTTAAGTAAGAATAAGGAGACCCAAATCAGATTTTTTTTTTGGCGGTCCAAATGGCCTAATTTCCGATCTTTTCACCCAAAACAAAAATCCGACTGGAGCGACTCCCACTAATTTGGATACGCGTCAGATTGTTTTCAAATAATCCACAGTCAAAACGGTCATCATGTCGCATTTCATCCGACTTCTAGGTCCTTGATGTGTGACGCGGGTCACAGTTCTGCGCCAGGAGAAGCCAGACCGGACGTAAACAACGTTTTGTTACAATCCGTTGCCTAGAGCTGTCCTACGCCAAGAAACACCCACCTGTGCAGCTTCTCAATGACTGCTTTGATTTCCATGTAATATAATACAAAATAACATCATATAAAATATAATGCAGCACATTAGTTAAAATATAACAAAGCTAAGGTTTCTGCAGGTTCCACAAACTCAAAGTTAAGACTTTTTAAGACTGTTACGAATGAAGTTTAAGACCAGGGGTCCCCAAACTACGGCCCGCGGGCCGGATCCGGCCCACCACCTCATTTGGTCCGGCCCCCTGAACAATACCGGATCCGGCCCGCCTCCTCATACCAGACAGCATTCAGTGTTTTTTTTCATATATTGTATTTTCCGGTTTATATGTATTTCCCCCTGGTGGATTTTTCTTCAACCACCAGGGGGCTTTTGAGCAAATGTGAAACTTATTTTCCCTCAATGGAATATATACTCGTCAGTCCCAGTCACCGTTTCACTGACGGTTTTTTCCATTTGCATTCTGGGTAAAAATCGTCGTAGACCGTAATCCTAACACAGAGAGAACAACAGAGAAAATACAAGTTAAATATTCCCACTACGGCAACATTTAAGACCTTGTACTTATGTGTATGTAAGGCCCAATTAAATTCCTAAAATGAATTTAAGGCATTTTAAGGCCTTAATTTTAGATACACAAACATAAGACTTTTTTAAGGATGGACAGAGAACCGGATAACAAAGCTAGTAAAAGTAATGGTTGGTGCTTCAACGCAAAGAGAAAACGTACAGATGGACGCTCTACCTGGGGAAAAAAGGAACAAAAAACAAACTCAAACACAAGAGCAACAACACAAGAGAATCTAATTTACATTTGGTGCGACTCCCGATCGTTTTCCCTGCCCTTCCATGAGTGACTTACATGCTCCACCACCCTGTTCTTAAGGTCCTTCCACCTTTTCTCTCCCTCCTCTGAATATGAGAAGACCTCTGTCGCCGGGCTCTCAGACGAGCCTTCTCTCAGCTCCTTCCCATAATCCTCCACCAGCGAGGCCCAGCGCATTAGCTCCATAGTGGTAAACTGCTTCAGAAGGTCCCTGGGAAAAGAGGAAGAACGTCACCCTCAGCGTGTCGTAATCGATTTGTCAGCGGCGGAGTGGAAGCAGGTTGAGGAACGGGTTGGTCTTACTTGTATTTAGGGATTTCTTCCAATTTCTTGTCGGCGCTGATTCTGTGCACGAGGTCTGACTGTTCGTTGTCGTAAGGAGACAGGATCACGTACAGCACCACACTCTTCAGGGCCTGTAGGGCGGGACGGGCAGAAAATGCATGTTAGCCGACTGCAGCGTTGTGCTCCTCGTGTTATATGAGGCCGTCCTGCTCAACCAGGTTTCAGTCAATGAGAACTACATTTAACATTTGACAAGAACTCTGCAAACGCCAGCTTCAGGAAACCTTACTAGAAAACAGCCACGCTTCATAAAGGAGTGAAAACGCTAAACCATTTGTCCTCTGAAACAAAAATCTGTCGACACTCTACCTGCTGCCACTTGCTGCTGTCCTCCAGGATGCAGGGCGTGTCGTAAATGGCCTTGTAGTGCTTGCATATCGACAGGTAGGAGCCCTCATGCTGGTCCACCTGAATCATCAGGTTGTAATACTTTAACTTCAGCTCCTGTGTTGGTAAAAGGAAGAAAAAGATTTAAGTTCGCAGTTTGGATGGACAGTAGATGATGCAACAACTTCTGAGAGAACAGAAGCTGCCAGGACTGCTGCTGTCTCTTACCTCGCTCCCTTCCTCCTGAAAGAACTTGGTGTTTATCTTCTTGCTGATGATCTGGGTGCGAACGTAGTCTTTGACAGCGATGCAGAGCCTCATCTGTTCCAAGATAAACTCCACCTTCTCCTTCTTCTCCATGGAGCCATACGTCTCCACCTGAGCAACAACAATAAAAAACAAAAAAGACAACCCGTAAATGAGGCGGGTCTTAGCAGCTCGCATATTACTTGTGCATAAAAAGGTTTGGATCTCACCTGTAGCTCCTGCAGAATGGCGGCAGCCTCTTTGACGTCACCACTCTGCTCCTTGATGTTGGCCAGGGTCTTTGTCAGCCTCGCA